CATGCTCTCCATTAGCTCGGGAGTTCATGCCATTTCCCATTCCTGGGGTCCATTTATCCCTTAGAGTCATTCATGATTTCTAGTTTCCTTGGGGTAGAGGATTATAGGCTGGGAAACCTTTGCTCTATGTCTAAAAATCATATATGAGTGAGTACATACCCTGTTTGTCTTTTTGTGATTGGGTTACCTCACTCAGGATGGTTTCTTCTAGTTCCATCCATTTGCCTGCGAATTTCAAGATTCCATTGCTTTTTTCTGCTGAGTAGTACTCCATTGTATAAATGTACCACATTTTCTCTTTCCATTCTTCAGTTGAGGGGCATCTAGGTTGTTTCCAGGTTCTGGCTATTACAAACAATGCTGCTATGAACATGGTTGAACATATGTCCTTGTTGTATGGACAAGCAGTATTTGGGTATATACCCAAGAGAGGAATGGCTGGATCTTGAGGTAGATTGATTCCCATTTTTCTGAGCAACCGCCATACTGATTTCCAAAGTGGTCTTACAAGTTCACACTCCCACCAGCAATGGAGGAGTGTTCCTTCTTCTCCACAACCTCTCCAGCATAGGTTGTCATTGGTATTTTTGATTTTAGCCATTCTGACAGGTGTGAGGTGGTATCTCAGAGTTGTTTTGAGTTGCATTTCTCTGATGGCCAAGGATTTTGAGCACTTTCTTAAGTGTCTTTCAGCCATTTCAGATTCCTCTGTTGAAAAATCTCTGTTTAGTTCTGCACCCCACTTTTTAATTTCATTGTATGGTGTTTTGGTGGCTAGCTTCTTGAGCTCCTTGTATATTTTGGAAATCAGTCCTCTGTCAGATGTGGGGCTGGTGAAGATTTTTTCCCATTCTGTGGGTGGTCGTTTTGTCTTACTGACTGTGTCCTTTGCCTTACAGAAGCTTCTCAGTTTCAAGAGGTCCCATTTATTAATTGCAGACCTCAGTGTCTGTGCTTCTGGCGTGATGTTCAGGAATCGTTCTCCTGTGCCAATTTGTTCAAGGGTTGTTCCCACTTTCTCTTCTAAAAGATTCAGTGTGGCTGGGTTTATGGAGAGATCTTTGATCCATTTGCACTTAAGTTTCGTGCATGGTGACAAGTATGGATCTATCTGCAATTTTCTGCATGTTCGAATCCAATTGTGCCAGCACCATTTGTTGAAGATGCTATCTTTTTTCCATTGTATGGATTTAGCACCTTTGTCAAAAATAAGGTGTTCGTAGGTGCGTGGGTTAATATCTGGGTCTTCAATTCGATTCCATTGGTCTATCTGTCTATTCTTGTGCCAATACCAAGCTGTTTTCAGAACTATGGCTCTATAGTAGACCTTGAAGTCAGGGATGGTGATGCCTCCAGAGGATCTTTTATTGTAAAGAGTTGTTTTGGCTATCCTAGGTTTTTTATTTTTCCATATAAAGTTGAGTATTGTTCTTTCAATGTCTGTGAAAAACTGTGTTGGGATTTTGATGGGGATTGCATTAAATCTGTAGATTGCTTTTGGTAGAATTGCCATTTTTACTATGTTAATTCTGCCTATCCAAGAGCACGGGAGATCTTTCCACTTTCTGGTATCTTCTTTAATTTCTTTCTTTAAAGTCTCAAAGTTCTTATTGTACAGGTCTTTCACTTTTTTGGTTAGTGTTACCCCCAGATATTTAATGTTGCTTGTGGATATTGTGAAAGGTGATGTTTCCATGATTTCTTTCTCATTGAGTTTATCATCTGTATACAGTAGGGCTACAGATTTATTTAAGTTAATTTTGTATCCTGCTACCTTGCTGAAGGTGTTTATCAGCTGTAGGAGTTTCCTGGTAGAGTTTTTCGGGTCACTTATGTAGACTATCATGTCATCTGCAAATAGTGAAAGTTTGACTTCGTCCTTTCCAATTTGTATCCCTTTGATATCCTGATCTTGTCTTATTGCTCTAGCTAGAACTTCAAGAACAATATTGAAGAGATATGGAGAGAGTGGACATCCTTGTCTTGTTCCTGATTTTAGAGGAAATGCTTTGAGTTTCTCTCCATTTAGTTTGATGTTGGCTATTGGTTTGGTGTATATCGCATTTATCATGTTTAGATATGTTCCTGTTATTCCTGTTCTCTCCAAGATCTTTATCATGAAGGGATGTTGGATTTTGTCAAAGGCCTTTTCAGCATCTAGTGAGATGATCATGTGGTTTTTCTTTTTCAGTTTGTTTATATGGTGGATTACATTGATGGTTTTTCGTATATTGAACCATCCTTGCATCCCTGGGATGAAGCCCACTTGATCGTGGTGGATGATTTTTCTGATATGTTCTTGGATTCGATTAGCCAATATTTTATTGAGTATTTTAGCATCAATGTTCATGAGAGATATTGGTCTGTAGTTCTCTTTCTTATTCTTATCTTTGTGTGGCTTGGGTATCAAAGTGATTGTAGCCTCATAGAAGGAGTTTGGCAATATCCCATCTGCTTCTATTGTGCGGAACAGTTTGAGGAGTATTGGTATCAGCTCTTGTTTGAATTTCTGGTAGAATTCTGCAGTGAAGCCATCTGGTCCTGGGCTTTTTTTGGTTGGGAGGCTTTTGATGACTGCTTCTATTTCATTAGGGGTTATGGGTCGATTTAAATTGTTTATCTGATCTTGATTTAATTTTGGTAAGTGATATTTATCCAGGAAACTGTCCATTTCCATTAGATTTTCGAATTTTGTGGAGTACAGATTTTCAAAGTATGACCTAAAGATTCTCTGGATTTCCACAGTGTCCGTTGTTATATCCCCCTTTTCGTTTCTGATTTTGTTAATTAGTGTGCTCTCTCTCTGCCTTTTGGTTAGTTTGGCTAGAGGTTTGTCTATCTTGTTGATCTTCTCAAAGAACCAACTCTTTGTTTCATTGATTCTTTGTAATGTTTTCCTAGTTTCTACTTTATTGATTTCAGCTCTCAGGTTGATTATTTCCTGGCGTCTACTCCTCCTTGGTGAGTTTGCTTCTTTTTGCTCTAGTGTTTTCAGTTGTTCTGTCAGTTCTCTAATGTGACTTTTTTCTAGTTTCTTCATGTGGGCACTTAGTGCTATGAACTTCCCTCTTAGGACTGCTTTCAGAGTGTCCCATAAGTTTGGGTATGTTGTGTCTGCATTTTCATTAGAATCTAGGAAGTCTTTAATTTGTTTTTTTATTTCTTCCTCAACCCAGGAATGGTGCAATTGGGTGTTATTCATTTTCCAAAAGTTTGCAGGTTTCCTGCCATTTGTATTGTTGCTGAATTCTAGCTTTAATGCATGGTGGTCTGATAAGATACAGGGGGTTATTTCAATTCTTTTGTAATTGTGGAGGTTTGCTTTGTTGCCTACTATGTGGTCAATTTTGGAGAAGGTGCCATGTGGTGCTGAGAAGAAGGTATATTCTTTTGAGTTTGGATGGAATGCTCTATAGATATCCGTTAACCCCAGTTGGGCCATGACTTCTTTCAGATCCTCTGTTTCTTTGTTAAGTTTTTGTCTGGTGGTCCTGTCTAGTGGTGTAAGGGGGGTGTTGAAGTCTCCTACTATAAGTGTGTGTGGTTTTATGTGTGGTTTGAGCTTTAGTAATGTTTCTTTCACAAATGTGGGTGCCTTCGTATTTGGAGCATAGATGTTCAGGATTGAGATTTCATCTTGATGGACTTTTCCTGTGATGAGTATGAAATGCCCTTCTTCATCTCTTTTGATTGATTTTAGTTTAAAGTCCATTTTGTTAGATATTAGGATTGCTACACCTGCTTGTTTCTTGAGGCCATTTGATTGGAAAATCTTTTCCCATCCTTTTACTCTGAGGTATCGCCTGTCTTTGAAGTTGAGGTGTGTTTCTTGTAAACAGCAGAAAGATGGATTCTGTCTTCGTATCCATTCTGTTAGCCTATATCTTTTTACGGGTAAGTTAAGGCCATTGACATTTAGGGATATTAATGTCCATTGTTCGTTGGTTCTTGCTTGGTTTGGATTTATTGTTGGTGGTGTCATTGTGTGTGGATTTTGCTCTCCTGCTTCTTTTTGTGTTTGGCAATATTAGATTATCTATTGCCTGTGTTTTTGTGCATGTAGTTATGTTCCTTGGGTTGGAGTTTTCCTTCCAGAACCTTCTGTAGTGCTGGATTTGTGGATATGTATTGTTTAAATCTGTTTTTGTCATGGAAAATCTTGTTTTCTCCATCTATAGTGATTGAAAGTTTTGCTGGGTACAGTAGTCTGGGTTGACATCCATGCTCCCTTAGTGCTTGTAGTGTATCTATCCAAGACCTTCTGGCTTTCATAGTTTCCATTGAGAAGTCGGGTGTGATTCTGATTGGTTTGCCTTTATATGTTACTTGGCCTTTTTCCTTTGCAGCTCTTAATATTTTTTCTTTATTCTGTAGATTTGGAGTTTTGATTATTATGTGTCGGGGGGACTTCTTTTTGTGGTCCAGTCTGTTTGGTGTCCTATAAGCTTCTTGTACTTTCATAGGCATATCTTTCTGTAGGTTGGGGAAGTTTTCTTCTATGATTTTGTTGAATATGTTTTCTGTACCTTTGAGCAGTGTTTCTTCACCTTCTTCTACACCTATTATTCTTAGGTTTGGTCTTTTCACGGTGTCCCATATTTCCTGTATATTTTGTGTTAGGGATTTGTTGGTCTTGAGGTTTTCTTTGGTTGATGAATGTATATCCTCTAGCGAGTCTTCAATAGCTGAGATTCTCTCTTCTGTCTCTTGAATTCTATTAGTTATACTCACATCTTTAGATCCTGCTCGTTTATCCAACCTTTCCATTTCCAGCATCGCTTCATTCTGTGTTTTCTTTAATGTGTCTAATTCAGCTTTCATGTTTTGAACTGTTTCAAGAGCTTCCTTCACTTGTTTGGTTGTTTTATCTTGGGTTTCTTTAGCTTCTTTAAGAGATTTGTTTATTTCTTGAATATTTTGGTTTGTCTTTTCCTCCATATCGTGTAATTTTTTGCTTACTTTTTCTTCTATTTCTTTAAGGGATTTTCTTGTTTCCTCTTTGAAGGTCTCTATCATCTTGCTCAGATAATTTTTGAGGTCCATCTCTTCTTCATGCACTGTGTTGGGCTTTTCAGATCTTGCTGGAGTGGAGTCCCTAGATTCTGGTGGTGTCATATTGGTCTTTCTGTTGTTGAGCGGGTTCTTATTCTGTCTTCTTCCCATATCTTTTTCCAGTGAGTGCAGGTAGGATCTCTCTATCTCCTCTTGTTACTCTGTAGTGTGTGTGGGCCAGGAATTCAATTTCTGAAGCTCTGGAAGGTTTTGCCTCTCCTCGTAGCCTCCTCACTCTGATGGCGTAAAAGCAGGGGGTGGCTCACCTGGTCTGCGATGAGTCCACGGAAAGGGAAGGAAGAGTGTCCTGAACCAAGCCAGATTCAGGAAGCTCCACCCTACCTGGGCGTGTCTGTTTCAAGCAGGGACGAGCCTGGAGGGATCTGGGTGGATGGCGCTTAGGACAAGAATTGGGTAAAAGCAGGGGGTGGCTCACCTGGTCTGCGATGAGTTCACGGAAAGGGAAGGAAGAGTGTCCTGAACCAAGCCAGATTCAGGAAGCTCCACCCTGCCTGGGCTTGTCTGTTTCAAGCAGGGACGAGCCTGGAGGGATCTGGGTGGATGGCGCTTAGGACAAGAATTGGGTAAAAGCAGGGGGTGGCTCACCTGGTCTGCGATGAGTCCACGGAAAGGGCGATTTTATTTTATTTCAATTAATGATATGTGTTTGTGTATGACTCTGTGCGTGGTTATGTGGATGTGTGTGAATGTCAGTGGAGGCCACGGGTGTCAGGTCCCTCTCGAATGGAACTGCAGTTGGGACCCAAACAAAGTGTCCCATCCCCCCCCTTAACTGCCAAGCCATCTCCCCAGCCTTGAGTTTTCATGAGACAGATTCTCATGTAGCCCAGTGACCTGGACCTCCTGAACCTGCTGCAGAAGTGACAGGCATGCACTGTTTGTTATGCTGGGCTGAGGCTCTGTCATGCAGAATGGGTTCTTTCTTGCTAGTCACTGGTAATTGTGTTTTTCTGCTCTGCACTCCAGGGAGATTTCACGCAGCAGATCGTTCAGAGTTGATAAAGACCACAGAAAACATAGATGTGTCGATGGACATGAAGCCATCCTGGACCACCCGGGATGTGGCGCTTTCAGTGCACCGAGCTTTCAGGTGGCCGCTTTTTGTTGATGTTCATTAAGCATGTGTTAATTGGATTTCATCATTCAAAACAAAAGACTTGGCTGTCCCATACTTTAAACAAGATGGACAATTTACAATGGTATATAGATTGATTTTTATAGACATTCCACTTGTTCTTTTCATAATATGTTGAATTTTATTTCATGTGAAGAGATTTTAAAAACGTTTTAGCTTTTTATTTTAGTGATTATATCTAATTAAACCCTTTTCCATGCAGGATGATTGGTCTGTTTTCTCACGGCTTCTTGGCTGGCTGTGCTGTGTGGAACATTGTTGTGATCTATGTTCTTGCGGGAGATGAGCTGTCTGACCTCTCCAACCTTCTGCAGCAGTACAAGCACTTGGCATACCCTTTCCAGAGCCTCCTCTACCTGCTTTTGGCCCTAAGTACGGTTTCAGCGTTTGACAGGTAAGACTGTTGTGACCGTGAGTCTTCCTCACTTTTCTTGAGGAAGAAATGGTGAGCAAATGTGTCACTAACTGTTAGTTTTTAAAATAGAACGATAGATATTAACATAATCATTTTAAAACCAGTCTTTGGATTAGCATAGCCTCATAGCTTCACTGTATCTGTGGAGATCCTGTTTCCGTCACTTTCATGAATACTAGGTTTAGAAGTCCACCACTTATTTGGGGGAACACAGGTCAACCCAGCAGGGCTGCAGAGATGGCTCAGTGGGCAAAGATGCCTGCTGTCAAGCCTGATGTTCTGAGTTTGCTACCAGGACCCACATGGTGGAAGGAGACAACCAACTCTTGAAAGTTGTCCTCTACCTCCATATGTGCACCGTGTGTGTGTGTGTGTGTGTGTGTGTGTGTGTGTGTGTGTGTGTGTGTGTGTGTGTGTGCACATATGCACCCACCTGTCCACACAAACTAAATAAAATGAAATAAAATCACCAAAAAAAGTTCCTGCCTACTTATTGTTGTCATAGTTTGCTTCTCTGTTTCTGTGATAAAACACTGACCAAAACAACTTGGGGAGGAAATGATTTGTTTTATTACACACTTTACTGTTCCTCATTAGGGGAACACACAGCAGGAGCTGATGCAGAGACCATGGAGGGTTGCTGCTTACTGGTTTACTCTCTGTGACTTGCTCAGCCTGCTTTTTTATACAACCTAGTACCACCTGCCACAAGGATAGCATAGCCCCCAGTGAGCTGGGCCCTCCCACATCAATTCTCAATCAAGGAAATGCCCCCATAGACTTGAATGCATAGGTTCTCTCTTCCTGGATGACTCCAGCTTGTGTAGGTTGTCAAAAACTAACTAGCACTGTAGTTTGTGTATCTACTGGCAGAGGAGGAAGTTAATGATTTTTGCAGGTTTGGGCTAATTTGTTTCTTCATGATGTCTTAATACTTAACAGTCTTCTTGTTAGATATTTGATGAGGCCTTTGTAAATAAGGTGGATACTGTTTCCTGTTTAAGTTTAATCTTTAACTATGTAGAGACTGGTAGGCGACAGTGGACCTGGTGCCAGTAGACTAAAGAGGGAAAACTAGTGAAGGAAGAGGTCACCGCAGCACAGTGACAGAAAGCTTTCACTTTTCATTCCAGGACTGACTTTGCTAAAACCTCAGTAGCTATCCGGAACTTTTTGGCCCTGGAGCCAACAGCTTTAGCTTCTTTTTGTAAGTAATAGTTTACTTGATAACTGTTATAATTGAGGAGTTATATTATCACTTTGAATCAAGAAAAATATTTTACAGAAGTTTAACATTATTTCTTTAAGTCATTATAAGTCAGTGAAATTGTAATTTAAAACATGGTAGGACTAACTTTGCTAGAAGTATTATTTTCCTTTTTTTATTTTTAAAACAAGCTTATTTTACATACCATATTGAGGCAGGCTCTCTTACATAGCTCAGGCTGGCCTTGAACTTCCTGTGTGGTTGAGGATAGCCTTAAACTCCTCATCCTCTGTGCTCTTCCTTGAGTTCTGGGATTTGCAAGCATGCACTGCCGTGCCTGGCTTTACAAGTGTTTTCAACAGAGGATCATCAAAATGACTTTCAGAAGTTGAATTGTTAGTGAGGTCCTGGGGTTAATGCCCCACCCCCAAAATAACAAGTGTTGGCCTTCATTACTTATTTTGTGTGTCTGTATGTGGCTGTAGGCAGACACAGCCGGCCTTTTAGTAATAAGTACCATTTATGTATTTCTGGCAATCTACAATACATTTTGTTCTAGGTTACAGGAGTTGTGTTAAAAACTAGTTTGAGGAGCTTGAGCAAGTCATTTAAATTTTTAGAAGATCTTCTAGGTTTCTAGGTTGTGCTCATTTGTTATACTCTATCATATCCATGCCAAGTAATAAAAGGTGCCTACTGAAGTTAAGTGAGTTTCTTTTGTACAGTCATTCATCAAAATACACAGAAGATAAAATTATTAGTAATTTGACCTTTTTTTTTTTCTTCTCAGTGTACTTTGCTGCTCTAATACTGTCTCTGAGTCAGCAGATGACAAGTGATAGGATCCACCTTTACGCACCGTCTGTTAATGGGAGCCTCTGGTAAGAATTCACAGGGATGTTAGCAGTTGTCATGGTAACAGCAGACATGGGGTAGGGTGCTAATGATACTTCTCTACGTTTTCACCCATGGATCACAACCAGACCACATTTTTGTTTATAATAAAACACAAGGAAAATACCTATTCTATTGGTTAATGGATAATGACCTTTTTATAGACTTACTTTTGTTTTTCTTGACATGTAGTTTCAAGTAGCCCAGGCTAACTTCAAACTCCTTATTTAGCTGAGGCAGGCTTTGAACTTCTGATCATACTGCCATACTGCCTGTATCTCCTAAGTGCTGTGATTACAGGCAGAGCAGCCACTCCCAGCTTATACCTGGGTTTTTGTTTGTTTGTTTGTTTGTTTGTTTGTTTTTGGCTTTTGAGACAGGGTTTCTCTGTAGCTTTGAAGCCTATCCTGGCATTCCCTCTGTAGACCAGGCTGGCCTCAAACTCACAGAGATTCAACTGTCTCAGCCTCCCAAGTGCTGGGATTAAAGGCATTCGCCACCACTGCTCAGCTTATACCTGGATTTTTAAAATGAACTATCTTCTTTTCAAAAATATGTTGTAACTCTTCAAGTCATCATACAGTGGATTGGAGGTGCTCTATGCCTTTACCCCAGGTGGAGCTATAAGACCATGGAACAGTGGTGGAGAGGGTAGCTGGAATAGAGGAGGAACTCAGTAAGAAGTGCTAGGAAGAGAATATGGGGGAACCGGCCTTTACAGATGAGTGGTCAGCTGCTGGGGTGACAGGATGGCTGAAATTCCAGTCTGTTTTGAGAGAGTGAATATGGGTGGGCTAAGAGAGAAAGAGAAGATGGTCAATTAAAGAATATTGCCATGATGTTGTAAGGGAAATTGTCAGGACTCTTGAGGGCAATACTAACTTTTCATTTATACTGATCTACAGAGATCTGTATTGAGTTCAAGCTGGCTTTGAACTCAGCAGATACATGCTGAAACTTCTGTAGTTGTTTGTTTTGGGAGACTCACACTTCATTTCATACTTGGTACTTCTCTAGAAGAGGACTACTTTTTGAAAGTTTATAAAATAGTTACATTTGGACATGTAAGCAAAAATGAAGGCATTTCTAAAGAGTATTTCTCTTCTCCAGGGCAGCAGAAATTGAGGAGCGGTTTCTCCAGCCATGGATCATTGTGAATCTGGTGGTGGCCCTTCTGGTTGGATTATCCTGGCTCTTTTTGTCTTACAGGCCATCCGTGGATCTTAGTGAAGGTATTAAAATAAAAAGATATATGCATTCTGAAATTTCTCTCCAATAACACTTTAGTGACAAGCACATTTAAAATAAAATATTAGAAGGACAATGAAACAAACAAGGTCTCAGAATGGCAGAACAAACAGGGAGGAGGGCCTAGAGAGTTGGAGACTGGAAACACTGAATGAGGGTCCTTAGCCTTCTGCACATCCGGACGGTGTGCTGTGCCTTCTTGGAATGTTCGGGCATTGCTAAGGCTCTACTTTCATTATGCTCGGTTGTCTTCATTTGATGACGTCATGCTTTGTCAGTGTAGCCCCTGTCACACAGAAGGTGAGTCTCGTTTCATTCTGTTTTTACCTTCAGTGTGCAGTGCCCAGTGAAGTCACGAATCTTTAGACCCAAAGCTCTTTTCAGAGCAGGCAAAGCAAAGGTCTCATTAGCAGAGGGCTAGCTCATCTCAGAATCTCTAGGAACACTTGGTATTTTACTGTACACTTGACAGGGCTTCCCCATTTTCATCCATTCACACATGAGCACGGTAGTTCCGTCATTTCCACTCTTCCCTCTCCCTCTAAATTCTCCCATACCCCTCCTTCCAAATTCATGACCATTTATTCTATAATTATTTTGTTACATTTATAGATGTAAATGTGTATATATGTATATAAATATACAGCCTGTTAAGCCCAGCTAGTGTTGCCCATATGTACACGTGAACCAGATTATACCAAACCAGAATGTAATTTCCTTGTGTATTTCATTTATGAATGTACCTTTTTGCATTATAATTCTCCTGTTGTTCCACTAAATATCCTGCTGCTTTATTCAGTTTGCTGTCTTGGGCTTTGGGGCTGGGTAGCTGGCCAGTCAGCAAAGTGCTTGTTATGCAAACACGAGGAGCTGAATTTAGACCTCCAGTACCTGTGTAATAACCAGGCACAGTGTTGTGAACCTTCAGTCCCAGCATGAAGAGGGAAGAGGCAGGTGAATCCCTAAGATCGTGGCCAGCCAGCCTAGTCAAACTGATGAGCTCCAGTGAGAGACCCCACCTCAAAAATAATGTGGAGAGCGATAGAAGAAGACAGCTGATATCAACTTCCAGCTTCTATGTGTACACACTCATATGAACATGTATACAGTACACACATTCATACACAAAACATTGCACTTTATGTGTTTTGCTCTTTTTTTTCTCACAAGTTGTGTTTTTTGGTCATTCAAAGATTTTTTATCTAATGGTTTGTGTCAGAGGACTTTTCTGTATTCACAAGTTTAATTTTTTTCTATATTTCTTGACATTTTAATAATAAAATGTGAAACAATGGTTTCACTTTGAAAATGTCAACTAACAGCACTCTGGTATTGCTGGGACTGACCCTACATCTGCCTTGTTTGTCCAGGTTGTGTCCTAGTTGCAATGTATATGATGCATAGCAACAACTTTCAGAAACCTGTTGTCTTTTAATGATGGTAAATTTAAAAAGTGAAAACAAAATGAGTGTAATACCTAACTTATTGGGTCTTTTGGAGATGCAATGGGATAGCATATTCAAGGTATTTTAGTAGACACTCAGTGTTAGTTCTGAATCCTTCTACTTCTCCGTTGCATTTTAAATTACCTGACAGGACTTAACCTCTTAGGTCTTGAATGATCCTAGGCTTCCTAGGTGACTTAATTTTCTTGGTAAGATGTGTTACATTGTCTTTATTATGGGTATTTTATTTTTAAGAGGTTTATAATGAATTTGAAACTTGAACTTTTAAAAATATAAGACATGTACACTTGCTACCAGCTTAGCATTTAGATTAAAAAAAATACTCCCTGAATAATTTATGCTTGTGCTTGAGGACTTTGTATTACTGTGCATAAATCAGTATTTATTAAGCTGCAAAACTCTTTTTTGAGGAGCTGGGAAAATGTTTAAAGTATGGTGTGTTCGTTTTCTTCTCCAGAGCTAATGTTCTTCTCTGATGTTGAGGAGTACCCTGATAAAGGAATCCAAGCATCCTCATAGTGCCAACTCCTTCACTGCAGTAAAGACCTGCATTTCCCCACTCTTGTTTTTAAGTATATTTTTATAAGATGTGTGTATGTGTATTTATAATTGAGCTTTTGTTATATGATGCTGAAATGCTTCTGAAGATTATGAAAAATGTTTAAATTGTATTTGGTCTTTATACCCAACATTAATTTCTGTAGTATTGTCACCTTAGTGATACAGGAGATAATGAGCTAAAAAAAGCAGGTGAAAGTGTTTTCTTCCTGTTTTCTCAAATTTGCTGCATTCATAATAAAAAGCACCAATTTAGAAAAGCCATAACTTCAGTGTTACACAATATATATCACGTTTCAATATCAACTTAGAGAATAGGGTAGAAGGCTAAATGATTTCATTTTATTTTTTTGATGTCTCTTTATTGAACACACTACAGTATAAAATTTATATTTTCTGAATCTGGCCAAGTGTTTGTGTATCATGTAATAATTATGTTGTAATTTGAATTGAAAAATGTTTCATGTCATGGCTAATAAAACAGACAGGTATCTTTTTGTTTGAAAAGTTTTATTTTTCCCTTTTAAAATCTGTGCCGGTTGTTAAAATCTGTGCTGTCTTATCTGGCTGCACATCAGGATCTCTGGAGTTCTTCAGGAAAACAGCTGTAACAGTGAGGAGTGGTGGTGTGTGCCTGCAGTCCAGCACCAGGAGTGGAGGCAGAGAATCAGGAGCTCAAGGCTTCCCTCAGCTACTTAGCAAGCTTGAGTTCAGCCTCAGCTACATGAGAGTCCATTTCAGACACCACAGACTCAAACATAGCAACAGAGAGGCCGAGCCATGAACCAGCTCGGGCCTGTGATTTTAGGCTAACCTCTGTAGAGATCCCTCCTGTCCATGCCCTACACCCCCCCACCACTCCCCCCCATTACAATTGATGGATGTCAAACCTAGGGTTTCATTCTGGTAGGCAGGTGCTCTACCACTAGGCCACATACTTAATCCTTGTGTTTCTGTTTATTTGATGAGAAAGGGTCTCTCTGTGTATACCAGGCTGACTTCAAACTCTGGATTCTCCTTTCCCTGCCTCTTGAATGCTGAGGTTGCAGGTCCCTGGTTGTCTTGTAGTCACAAAAAGCATGAGTGGAAGCTCACCATCCTCATTCTCACAGTCTGTCAGGTATCTTTAGGTTTCTGGGAGATTCTACTCTTGGGGTGGGTTCTGCGTGGAAAAAGCTGTCTTCACACACTTCAAATGCTTCTTCAGCTGGTGTCTGTGAGTGTCTACAGCATAAGTCAACGAGACGACCAGCCAGAACAGAAAGTGACTAAAGGCTGTTGGACACATCCCTGGAACTATTGGGCCTCCCTATTAGCACACAACTGAATGTTGTATAGCAGATGATTGACAGACTGATAATTGAGGTGGTTGTCCCTGAGGATTGGTCTGTAAGGCCAGAGTTGCTGAACAGGTATTCACTCATTTGATAGAATTGTGACTCCAAGGGCCGTGCTGCCTATCCGGTCAGTTTTAGTTGTCACTGTGACAGGCAATGATTGACAGCAGCTGGGAGTATGGAGTCTGCTTTGCAGAAACTGCAGGGAAGTTGATCTGAGATTTATCACATCTGAACTATGTCATCGAGGAGAAATAGGAAAAGCTGCTATCAGTGAGAGGGATGTAGTAGGCTGGGTAATGGCCCCTAATGGCCATTCATGGTCTAATTTCTGGAGTTCATGAGTATATTATTTCCTACAGCAAAAGAGGTTATGCAGATGGCATTGGGGATAAGAATCTTGAAATGGGGAGTTTTCTCCATTGTGGGAGTGGCTCATTGTAGCCTGGTGATGTTTTCCTAAAGGACTGAACCTTTCCAATATCTCGTCAAAGAGCTCTTGGTCATTTGTGATGCTTCTGCTTATAAAGCTGGAAGGGCCATCAGTGACCCCAAAAGTCTGGGAACAGACTCTTATCCAATACCCAACAGAAACACAGGCATCCCAGCCCAGGTATTCTATCACGGATGAACAGCCGATCCTCCTATAGAGACTCCGGGAAGAAACAAAGTGCTGTGGTCCCTTGGTTTAAATCCAGTTATTTTTGTACTAGACTGAAACACAGTTATAATAGATAGATAAACTATTAGGTAAACTGCTGGGCATGTTCCTAAGCATAGAGAATGGGGAACTTTGTACTGCAGATGGCTACATTAATAATGTATAGTTGACGCTGGAAGGATGGTCTTTGAAGACTTGGATTTAAAATCTCCCAATGTACCCCAGCAAGCACACAGTCCCTGAGAAGCTGATGGGACAAATCCTTCAGCAAAAACCCAGCAGTGGATGCCAAATATTCCTTCACCATGATGATTAGGGAAGTTCAAAGCAGATGAATGTCTCAGTGCTTAATTCAAGGCAATTGACTAAGGCTGTAGATGAGACTGTCAGACCTGTCAAATCTGAATCTTTGAGGATGAAGCTTAGGTTTATGGGAGAGGGGATAGGGAGGATGAACACATGATAAACATACTGTCTGCCTTTGGAGGTTCTTACTCAACTTAGAAAGAGAGCTGAGAATGGAAGAATCTAGGAGAGGTTTGTAGGTGAGGTCTGGTGTGAGCAAGGGCTGTGTAAGATGGATGTGATTTCTACTGGTAGAGATGGTGCGTGCGCGTGCGCGCGCGCGCGCACACACACACACACACACACACACACACACACACACACACACACACACACACACACAGAAGGCCAGAAAGCTGAGTGAGCTTAGCCCTTTAGAAATTTTTTTTCTCCTTCTCCTGCTCCTCCATCATCACCATATGTGTGTATAAATAATGGGAGAGGGGCATTGTGCCACAGAGCAAATGTGGAGGTCAAAGGACAACTTTGTGCAGTTGGTCTGCCTTCCTCCTTTACATGGGTGGGTTCTGGGGTCCAAACTCAGGTCACCAGGTTCATGCAAGAATCTTTACTGGCTGAGCCAGATTACCAGCTCAGCTCAGCATTTTTTTAAAAAGTTTTATTTTTATTTATGTAAACATATGGGTGCCCGTGCAGGCTAGAAAAAGTGTCTGATTCCTTGGAACTGGAGTTACAAGCAGTTGTAAGCCACCCATTGCAGGTGCTGGGAACTGAACTCAGGTCCTCTGAAAGAACAGCAGGTGCTTTTAACTGCTGAGCTGTCTCTCCAGGCCCTCAGAGTAGCATCTTTTTGTAGATTTTAAAACACAGTGTTGTGAGATATTAGCCTAGGTTTAATATTCAATTTTTACCTCATGTGCCTTTTCTTTGTATGTTCCCCCCTTTTTTCTTTCAAAATCTTTGGAAGGGAAGTTCGTCCTGAGAATTAAGGGCATTTGTCTATAAATGTACAGAATCATTAAAGCAACAGGAAAACATAATTCTGTAATATCTAATATCCAGTCCATTTCAAACTTTCCTAGTTGTTGCTCAGATGAAATCATATCTCATTTGGTGCTTATCTCTTAATGTAAAATTATATCTTTAGAGCCAGGCGTTGGTGGCGCATGCCTTTAATCCCAGCACTGGGGAGGCAGAGGCAGGCAGATCTCTGTGAGTTCGAGGCCAGCCTGGTCTCCAGAGTGAGTGCCAGGATAGGCTCCAAAGCTACACAGAGAAACCCTGTCTGGAAAAACCAAAAAAATTATATATTTAGATTTTAAATTTAAATTCTTTAACATCTATTTGTTCTTTGTATGCGTGTGTGGATGTGCACAGCAGGGTCAGAAATAAACCTATGGCAGTCAGGTCTCCTTCCACATGTGGCTTTGGGGAACACAAACTTCATGTCCTGATCAAACCTTAGACCTGGACAGGTACAATTCTTGTAGAAAACGCAGAAGGACTTCATTAGTTTACCCTCTGCCCTCTATCGTGTGAGCACAGATATCCAGAGGACACTGCCCAAGGCATTATTTAGGAAGAAGAGACTAGACCCTCAGCAGACAGCAGTCCTTCTGACACTCAGATCTTGAACTTGCCAGCCTCTAAAACTGTGAGAAATACATTTCTGTTCTTTTTAAATTGTAGAACACTACTGGACTAAAATACCTAGAGATGTAAATTTGTTCACAAGACTTCATTTCTGTCTTATTCGAAAACAATTGCTAGTTTGTTAGCAATTAGCATCAATTAGGTTCAAATACCTTTGTGGACCCTTCCTGTATTTCACTGTAAACCAGCAATGCCATTATTGTCCAGCAGGTGTCTCCAGAAACTGCTGCACAGAGCTTCTTTACTAACCAGAGATTTCAAATGGTGATGAACTTGTCCCCTATTGCTCTATCCGCCAGAAAACATTATGCATTCTGGAAAATGCATAGAACTAATTGCTAAGCTGACCTGCAGAACTGGACTCTCCTAAAGCCCCCCCCTCACTCCAACAGGGTTTCTCTGTATAATCCTGACTGTCCTGGAACTTGCTCTCTAGACCAGACTGGCCTGGAACTCACAGAGATCCACCTATGTCTGTCTCCTAAGTGCTGGAATTAAAGGCATTTGTCACCACCTCCCCGCAGGAATAGTTTTACAGTACAAATAAAACCATGTCATTGTGAAACAAAGCAAAAACCGAGATTACTTCCTCTGTGGTGCTAGGTAAACTCCGTGTCGCTTTACATGAACCCTTAGGAAACCAGAATGAGCTGGGAAGACAAGTCTCACTGGGGGACATAGACCCACACTGACAGACAACACATAGGAGTTAAGGGACTTGGGATTTTGTGCCATGCAGCCTGAAAGGGAAAGGCAAGGACCAAGTTCTTGTTGCTAAAGAATTTGTCCTTAGAGATTAGCAGCTACCAGGGTGAGCCAGCTGTCAGGGGCATGCATGCCAAGCAGCAGGTTGGAGACAGCTGTTAATTGTGTCCTTGGAGCATATGTGAGAGCACATGGCAAACATTCTGTCTGCCATCAGATGGGTCTTGATCTACTTAGAGAGAGAGACAGGAGTGGAGAATCTCAGAAAGGTCTGTAGGTGAGACTGGATGTGAGCAGGTGCTGTGGAAACGGAGTTTCTAGTGGTAGAGATTAACTAAAGGTGGCTTTTGAGCTCACTCTTGCTTATAAGACTACATTTCATTTTTTTTTTTTTTTTTTGGTGTTTTCAAGACAGGGTTTCTCTCTGGCTTTGGAGCTGTCCTGGAACTAGCTTGTAGACCAGGCTGGTCTCGAACTCACAGAGATCTGCCTGCCTCTGCCTCCCTAGTACTGGGATTAAAGGCATGCGCCACCACTGCCCAGCTACATTTCAAATATTATAGCAGTAAATAATGGCTCTGAGGTAGGGAAACATATTTAAAATGTTTTCTGTTTCTAAAAGTCTTGTGTGTAGCTGTGAGATGGTGGCACACACCTTTGATCCCAGCACTCAGGAGGTAGGAGCAAGTGGATCTCTGTGGGTTTGAGGTCAGCACGGTCTACAGAGCAAATTCCAGGACAGCCAGGAATGTTACACAGAGAAACCCTGTCTCAAAAAACAAAAACAAACAAAAAGTCTAATATGCTATCCAGCTTGCCTTAGAGCCACCTTAAAAATATTTTTT